CCGGCACTTCCGGCGGTGCGCCGCCCAACGCCTTCCGCCGCGGCACTTCCGGCTCCCGCGGATCCCCCAGACGTCCCGCGCCCGGCCTCCCGACGCCTGCGCTCGGGAGCCGGAAGTCGAGGCAGGACGGCCGTGCCTGCGGCCCGCGCTCTCTCGCCAGAGCGCTTCCGCTGCCCGGGATCCAATCATAAGGACACACCGCGCGGCTTCCGGCTGCGGCCGAAGCCGCTTCCGCCAGTCCACGCCTTGGAAGCCTCGCCGCCTCCCCGTTAACCCTCGCGGCGCCGCGCGTTCCCAGGGCGCGAGACACACACGCGGGCCAGCCGCCCTGGAAAGGGAAGCACGAGAGACGCAAGCCGGGCACTCATGGTGGCACCGGCATCCCCCGGGAGGCCTGGGACAAGGCAGATCTCGATGGGTCGCCCGGTGGGTCTGCAGCCGCAGAGAGCCAAGTCGGACTCCACTCGGGCACCTCCGAGACCCACACAGTCGAATCCCAAAAATACCAGGTGCCATTGGGAGGTCCAGCAGTGGGGCCAGGACGCTAGAAGCCCTCCCACTGTTGTTGCCCCCCCCCCAACAAGCACCAAGAAGCCAGAGCATCCCTGGCCCCAGACCGAGAGTTCCTCTCTATACCTTGTGGCTAAGAGCCACTGATGGACCTCTGCTCCATATGTTTGTCCAGTTCCCTCTTGAAGCTGCCCATGCTTGTAGCCACCGCCACTTCCTGTGGCAGTGAATTCCATGTGTTAAATCACTCTTTGGGTGAAGAGGGACTTCCTTTTATCCATTTTAACCCGACCACTCAGCAATTTCATGGAGTGCCCACGAGTTCTTGTATGGTGAGAAAGGGAGAAAAGTACCTCTTTCTCATCCTGCTGTATCCCATGCATCATCTTATAAACCTCGATCATGTCACCCCTCAGTCCAAGCTAAAGAGCCCCAAGCGTTTTAACCTTCCTTCACAGGGAAAGTGTTCCAACCCTTTGATCATTCCAGAAGTCACAGCAATTTAACATCATTAGCAACCGTTACAGCTGCGTCACCCCTCTACTCTGCCCAGGGGCCAGGGGACCACACGGGTCCCTCAAACTCAGCCCTTTCATCCTTGTCAAGGCAGCCTCTTTGTTCTCCAGGAGGGCCTGCAGCAGCCTCACTTGGCAGAGTCCTCATTGCACCCTTCAGCATCATTAATGACGGAGCTGTGGCCATGCATCCGGCTTCAGCCACAGAAGGTCTCTCTGGTCCAGCAGGGCTTGTGCTCCAGTGACGGAGCTGTGCCCATGCACAGAAGGTCTCTCTGGTCCAGCAGGGCTTATGTCCTTATGAACAGGGCTGCAGGGACAGCCCCAACTGCATACAGCTTCTTGGAAGTGCCCCTGGTTTCCAGTAAGGAAGGGACTCCCCATTCCTGAGCCCTGCTTTTCAACGAGTTACCTACCATGATTCCAAGATCTTTCTCTTGCCCACATGGAACCTCGTTTGCCACTCGGCCAGTCTTGACAGATCCCTCTAAAGCTCCACACAGTCCTCCCTAGTTCTCACCACCAATGTTTCCTCTAAGCTGTGGAGTCTGGTGAGCTCACTTTCTGAGCTACTGGCATTAAAGTTGTGAACAAGCGATTTGGCTACTGCATAAATTAGTTTGCTCTGGTGCCATCCTTCCTGAGCTAAGACAAAAATGTGTGAGTTGGAGGGTATAAAACTGAGCTAGCTCGCACTAACTTAGCTTAGAGGGAACACTGCTCACCACCATGAAAAATTCAGTGTCATAAGCAAACTTAGCCACTTCACTGCTTACTCCCAACTCCCAATGAACAAGTTAAAAAGCACCAGACTCAGTACCAAGCCCTGCTGTACCCCACTGCTTACCACCTTCCACTGTGAAAACTGCCCATTTAGACTCACTCTCTGTTTCCTGTTCATTAACCACAAGAGAACTTGTCCTCTTTTCTCATGACTGCTGAGTTTACTTAGGAGCCTTTGATGAGCAACTTCATCAAAGCCTTTCTGGAAGTCTAGGTAAACAACATCTACTGGGTCCCCCTCGTCCTTATGTTTGTTCACCCAAGGTCTTCCCTTACAGAATCCCTGCTGATTCTTTCTCAATAGCTTTTGTTCATCAATCTGCTTACTAATTCTATGTTTAATAGCGACTTCCACCAGGTACCAACGTCAGACTGACAGGCCTGACATTTTCTGGATCTGCTCTGGAACCTTTTTTTCAAAGATGGGGGTTACATTAGCTACCTTCCAGTCCTTGGGAATGGAGGCAGATTTTAGAGAGAGTGCATAGTTTTGTCAGGAGATCCACAAGTTCACATTTTGAGTTCTTTCAGGACTCTTGGATGTATGCCATCAGAGCCTGGTGATTTGTCAGTTTTTAATTTTTCCATCAGTCGTAGGACCTCCTCTCTCATCACCTCAATCCGACGCAGGTCTTTCAACACCCTTCCTGAAATCAGCGGTGCTGGAGAGGGCAAACACTTCCCATCTTCAACAGTGAAGTCATAGGCAAAAAAAACCCCATTCAGCTTCTCTGCCATCTCCCTATCAACCTTCAGTAAACCTTTTAAACCCCTGGTCATCCAAGGGCCCCACTGCCTCCCTGGCTGGTTTCCTGCTTCTAATGTATTTGAAGAAAGTTTTATTGTTGGTCTACAAGTTTTTTATAGTATGTTCCTCATGGTCCCTTTTTGCCTGTCTGATCACCAACTTGCATTTTGCTTGCCTCTGCATGTGCTCCCTTTTTATTTACCTCACTCAGAATAGCCTTCTACTACTTAAAAGGATCCTTCCTACCTTTTACTACTTCCATTACTTTGTTCATTAGCCATGCAGGCCTTTTTTAATACCTATTTCCTAACCTGCGGTATACATTTTATCTGAGCTTCTAGGATTGTAGTTTTAAAATAGTCTCCAAGCTTCCTGAAGGGATGACCCTCCTTACCTTTCATTTCAGTTTCTTCTTCACAATCCCCCTCATTTGAGAGAAGTTACCCTTTCTAAGGGAGCCACTTTGGTGTAGTGGTTAGGAGCGTGGACTCTAATATGGGAGAACCGGGTTTGATTCCCCACTCCTCCACTTGCAGCTGTTAGTGTGGCCTTGGGACAGTCACAAGTTCTCTCAGAGCTGTTCTCTCAAGGGCAGTTCTTGAAAGAGCTCTCTCAGCCCTACCTCCCTCACAGGGTGTCTGTTGTGGGGAGGGGAGGGGAGGGGAAGGGAAAAGGATTGTATGCCGCTTTGAGACTTCTTTCGGTAGTGAAGGGCGGGGTAAAATATCTAATTTCCTCCTCCTCCTCCTCAATTTAAATGTGGTTGGGGCAACTCCGTATTTACAGAAATGCTAAACTTAATGGCTAGCATTATGTTCCCAGTTCCCAACCGGTGCAATCAAGAGGGCAAGAAGGATAAGTGGGCCACTGATCTGGATGCTGATAAAGGTGTAGCTTTTGGAACGCAAGAACAGGCTTGCCTCCAATTTTGACTTTTAAGAAACCCCTATGTTCCACGGAGAGCGGGGGATTTTGCGGACCTGATGCTCAAACCAAGTCCTTGAGAAATTTTATGAGACACATGACAGAAATCTTAGCAAGCGTGATCACTTCCCCCACTTTCTGCCAAGAAACTAAGATGCCACACTGTTCTAGTCCCTGTGGTTCCTCTCTGTCCAGGAACAGTCTTTTGTTGGTCTTCCGTAAAGATCTGCACGCCCCCCCTCCCTTTGAATCTACACTGGAGCCTGAAGTCAGAGGACATTGGTTCAAAACAAGAAAGGGAGGCTGGAACAAGATTTAGCCATGGCCCTCAGCTGGCAGGGGCCTGCTTTCACCCAGGGGTGGGAGGAGATCAGAGAGGCAGGACACCTCTGTCAACTGCAGGTGCATCCAAGAAAGGCCAATGACAGAGCGCAGGACCAGCCCGTCTCTAAAATATAGTGGAGGAGTTCCCAAGAGGGACCCAGCAGCTGCGGAAGAAGTACTGCCAGAGTGCTCTGAAGAAACCATTCTCCCTGCAGGCGCCAGCACAGCGCAGGGCGGCAAGATTAATGGGGCCGTCAGTAATCAGTGGGGGTCCCTCCACCTCCGCAGACCCACACCCCACTCTGGCTGTGGCAAAATCAAAACTGCCTCTTTAAACTGCAATTAAAGGTTTCCCTTGCCCAAAAGTCAGTCGAATCCGACTCTAGGGTTGTGGTGCTCATCTCCGTTTCCAAGCCGAAGAGCCAGTGCTGTCCGAAGATGTTTCCGTGGTCATGTGGCCAGCATGACTGGATGCTGAGGTGCACAGAACGCTGTTTCCTTCCCACCAAAACGGTACCTATTTATCTACTTGCAATTTCTTGCTTTCGAACTGCTAGCTTGGCAGGAGCTGGGGCCAGAGACGGGAGCTCACTCCATCACGAGGCACTCGGGTCTCGAACTACCGACCTTCCGGTCTGCAGTTCAGCGTCTTAACCCCTTGAGCCACCGCAGCCCCTTAAACTGGAATCAGAAGGTCCTCAAAGCACAAGAGACCAGGTCCTGTTTTCAAACACACATTTATAGAATAGGTTTGAGTTTTTTTCCAAAAAGGAAGGAGAAGGTACCACCCCTTTTTTAATATATAAATATCTTCAAGTGTCGCCAACTCTTGCCCTTCGGCTCCTGTCCTGCCGCTTCGGCACAGGAGGCTTCACACCACTCAAAACGTGCACAGAGACTGTGGCAATTCCGAGGGGCAAGGAAAACTGACCCCCCCCAGCCCCTCGGACCCCCCCCAGCCCCTCCCGTCTGGCCACAGCCCTTCACAGACGCAGGCGGTCAAGCCTTTGTTTTCCAAAGAAGGACAAAGGTCTCCAACCAGTACCCCCCACACACCATCCCTGCTGGGGCCACGGCCTGCTCTTATGTGGCACCCCCACACACCTTCCTCTCTGGGAGGAGACCCCCTCCCCGGACATTTCGCACCCGTTCTCCAGCCAAGGGCCTGGCCCCCGCCATCCAAACCTCCCCCCCGCCGCCCCCGGCAAGCCTTCTCCCTTTCCACTCGAGGTCACAGCACAGGGGGCAGGAATCCGGAGGGTGGAGTTAAGCGGGCAGCAATGTGATCCCCACGGGCCTCCCCTCCGCAATGGCCTCCCCAAGGCAGGATCTTTGGGCAGCTGGACCCAGTGAGGGGGAGCATGGCTGAGCGGAAGGGAAGCAGAAGCAGCGGCAGGCCCTACCCCCCTCCCTCCCAGGGCAAAGCTGTAGCCATCCTTCATACACACCTGTGCGCTCTCTCTCTCTCTCCCTACCGGCTGCGCCCCAGAGATTTTCTTCTGCCTCCCCCCGCCCGAAACAAGTTTGTAAAAGCCTGCAAGACCTCCGTTTTCCAGACCTGGGGCTGTTCCACTCCGCAAGGCCCCCTGCTCCAGCCAGAGCGACTCTGCTATCCTAGGGGAGATGACGGCCTGAACAGAAAATGTTCTCTCTGCCCCAAAGTAGACCTAGCAGAGGACCTTCTTCCCTGCCCCCTCCCCCCCCCGAATGCAAAGGTCACGTGGAGAGTCTCCTCCCTTTCCCCCTCTCTGTGCAGGCCCTGCAGTTGTCCGTGGTCCCCCCCCCCCGCCTTGAGATACCCCTCCCTGGCACCCAAGTCCTTCCCCCTCAATGCAAACCTGCCCCCCTCACACTCTTGCACCCCACCAAAGCTGCTCAGGGCACCAGAATTAGCACTCCGATCACTGCATTTGTAGTCCAAGCAGGGCAGAGGCGCATCTCTCTCTCTGGCCCAGCCATGACAATAAATACGAAGCACGCTGCTCGGTCCACGGCAAACTCTCCTTGGCCCGGGTCTGGCCTCTGCCACGTCCCCCGGGAAGAGCGCTGCTGTCCCAGTCTCTCCTTCCTGCTGCTGGCTCCAGGTCAGATTCTTTCCACACACACCCCCACTCAGGTCCGTGGCGAGTAGCAGGGATTGCGCGGCAACTCCGTGAAGGACTTCAGCTCGTACGGGATCCCCGAATCAATCTCGATGGACTTGCGTGAGAACAGCAGGCGGATGTCGTCGTGCAGGTAAATCTTCCCAGACTTGGAGCTGTGGAACCTGCGAGTAGAGGTCGGGACTTGAGGAATCACAGGCCGTCCACCACTCCGAGGGCAAGCCAGTCGTCTGGCCCCTCTGGCGCACGACTCTGCTGTGCCCACCGTGGGGCAAGACGGGCCAGGGAGACAGACGCAATCTGGCAGGTGGACAGAGTCAGATACAGCACAAGGGACAGGACCCTGCCTGTGCGGCAGCCGGCAAGAACGCCAGTCCCAAGGGGCAAGCCAAGGCCTCCATCTGGAAGGTTCCCCACCACCACCCATATTTCTCCCCCTAATTCTGGACCCAGTGCCCGTGGCCCTCTTCCGAGATGCCACGGAAAGGCCCTTGTGAAAACGGCTGCCATCGTGGCACTTCTCCCCAGAATGTCACAGCCGAGCTCCCGTGGGAAGGAGCCGCCCTTCCTGGCGTGGGGCCGGTCTGCAGCTGCACCACGCAAAGACAAGACAAAGCCCAGCCGCAGGACCGTCCACAGCCAAGGACAAACTCAGCTTCCTGGAAGGCTAGGTTTAGCAAACATTTATATTAAAAAAACCACATTATTTTTTAATTCTGGGGTTTTTACAATGCATTTTATGTATTCTGTTTTATGCATTTCATCTAAGCTACATGCTGCCTGGAGCTCCATGAGGGAGAAAGGCGGCTTGTTAATGTTTTAAATAAATAGGAAATAAAAGCTCCTCAGATGCTTGCAGGGGCCGTCTTGGAAAGAAGCACAGGAACACAGAGCTGGAGCCCGAGGGTCATCTACTCCAACCAACCCTCTGCACAACGTAGGACATTCATAGCTACCTCCCACCCATGTTCCCGCTAAGCTGTGGAGTCCTGTGAGCAAAAATTCTACTCTGCGAGCGACTGGCATTAAATTCGTGAGAGGCGACTTGGCCACTGCATCAATTGGCTTGCTCTGGAGCCCCACCCTTCCTGAGCTAAGACAAAAATGTGTGAGCCGGAGGCAAAAAAACTGTGAGCTGGCTCACACCGACTCAGCTTAGAGGGAACACTGCCTCCCACCCCACCCCACCCCATCAACACTGGCTCTATGCCCAGAGGACGGCAAAAAACCTACAAGATCCCTTGGACAACCTGACGTGGAGGAAAATTCCTTCCTGGCCCCAAAAGTGGTGATCTTTTGAGGAGGAGGGGGGAGGGGGGGAGGAGGAAATTGGATTTATACCCCGCTCTTCACTTGGAGTCTCAGAGCAGCTTACAATCTCCTTTCCCTTCCCCTCCCCACAGCAGATACCCTGTGAGGTAGGTGGGGCTGAGAGAGCTCTTGAGAGAACTGCTCTTGAGAAAACAGCTCTGAGAGAACTGTGACTGACCCAAGGTCACCCAGCAGCTGCATGTGGAGGAGTGGGGAATCAAATCCGGTTTTCCCAGATTAGAGTCCATTCGTCTAACCACTACACCAAATTGGCTCTACCTAGGAATAGAAGGAATACTTATTAAATTTGCTGGTGATATTAAATTAGGAAGGGTAGCAAATATGGTAGAAGACAGAGTCAGGATACAGGATAACCTTGATAGGCTGGGAAACTGGGGTAAAACAAATAAAATGAATTTCAAGGGGATAAATATCAATATTTATTATCTAGATATTTGGGTAGGAAAAATCAAATGCATAATTATAGGATGGGGGAGACTTGTCTTGGCAGTAGTATATACAGTAGTATACACAAAAAGGATCTAGGGGTCTTCGTAGGCCATATACCGAACATGAGTCAGCAGTGTGATGCAGTAGCTAAAAAGGCAAATGCGATTTTGAGCTGTATCAACAGAAGTATAGTGTCCAGATCACATCAAGCGATGGTATCGCTTTACTCTGATCTGGTTAGACCTTACCTAGAGTATTGTGTTCAATTTGGGGCATCACAATTTAAGAAGGATATAGACAAGCTGGAACGTGTCCAGAGGAGGCAATGAAGATGGTGGGGGTCTGGAGACCAAGTCCTGTGAGGAAAGGTTGAAGGAGCTGCGTATGTTTAGCCTCGAGAAGAGACGACTGAGAGGTGATATGATAACCCTCTTCAAGTACTTGAAAGGTTGTCATTATAGAGGATGGTACGGAGTTGTTTTCTGTTGCCCCAGAAGGTTGGACCAGAACCAACAAGTTGAAATTAAATCAGAAGAGTTTTCAGCTAAACGTTGGAAAGAACTTCCTGACAGTTAGAGCAGTTCCTCAGGGGAACAGGACTCCTCGGGAGGTGGTGGGCTCTCCTTCTTGGGAGATTTTCAAACAGTGGCTAGATGGTCATCTGACAGCAATGTCGATTCTGTGAACTTAGGCAGATCATGAGACAGAGGGCGGGAAGGATTGCCTCAGTGTTTAGTTCTTGTGGCCCAGAGAAATGCCAATCGCCACTTTGGGGTCAGGAAGCAATTTGGTGGGAGATCATGGAGGATTTTGTCATCCTCTGGGCGTGGAACAGGGGTCACTGGGGGTGTGGAGGGGGAGGTATTTGTGAATTTCCTGCATTGTGCAGAGGGTTGGACTAGATGACCCTGGAGGTCCCTTCCAACTCTGTGATTCTATGATTCTAAGTTTACAGAATCAGCATTGCTGTCAGATGGGAATCTATCCTGTAATTAAAAGAAGAAGAGATTGGATTTATACCCTGCCCTTCACTCAAGAGTCTCAGAGCGGCTTACAATCTCCTTTCCCTTCCCCTCCCCACAACAGACACCCTGGGAGGTAGGCGGGGCTGAGAGAGCTCTTGACAGAAACTGCTCTTTTTTTCAAGAACAGCTCTTATCAGAACTCTGGCTTGCCCAAGGTCATCCAGCAGGTGCAAGTGGAGGAAGAAGAACAAGAGGAGGAGGAGGAGATTGGATTTATACCCCGCCCTTCACTACCCAAAGGTGTCTCAGAGCGGCTTACAAACTCCTTTCCCTTCCCCTCCCCACAACAGACACCCTGTGAGGTGGGTGGGGCTGAGAGAGCTCCGAGAGAGCTGTGACTGACCCAAGGCCACCCAGCTGGCTGCATGGGGAGGAGGAACGGAGAATCAAACCAGCTTCTCCAGATTAGAGTCCACCGCTCTTAACCACGACACCAAGCTGGCTCCAAGCCTCCAAAGAAGGAGAGCCCACCACCTCCTAAGAAAGCCTGTTTCACTGAGGAAGTCAGGAAGTTCTTCCTAATGTTTAGCCAGAAACTCTTTTGATTTAATTTCAGTCCGTTGGTTCTGGTCCAACCTTCTGGCAGGCAGCAAATGAGGACCACTCCAAGGGAGGCTGCAGCAGGGGTCGTGGGCCTCACCTATTTGGGGGTGGGGGGGTTTCATGTATTTTATTTATTAAATTTATAGCCCTCCCTCCCCACATAGCAGGCTCAGGGCGGGTTCCAAACACATCCATCTGCACACAGTGCAGAGTTACAATTAAAATTTAGAACACATAAATCAATTAAAAGTTAAAACCTAAAGCAATCTAGTACTAGATGCCCAACAGGCCTTGACGGGTGATGCCGATACCAGCCATGTGGATCTGCGGTCCCTGGAGGGGAGGCCGTATCTGGTGGATGCCGGATACCTCACCCAAAAGCCTGGCGGAAGAGCTCCGTCTCACAGGCCCTGCGGGACTGCAAAAGGTCTGGCCGGGCTCTGACCTCACGGAATCATAGCATGTAGAGTTGGAAGGGACCTTGCAGGCCATCTAGTCCAACCCCCTGCACTCTGCAGGAGCACAGCCGAAAGAGAGCCCTACAACGTACTCGAAAGATGGTTGTCCAGCCTCCTCTTGAAAGCGACCAGCGAAGGAGCATCCACCACCTCCCGAGGCAATCGGTTCCATTGCTCAACCACTCTGACAGTTAGGAAGTTTCTCCTGATATTTAGCCAGTATCGGCTCCCTTGTAATTTCCACCCATTCGATCTAGTCTTGCAATCCGGAGCAAGAGAGAATAGATCTGCTCCACCTTCTACATGATAGCCCTTCAAATACTTGAAGACTGCAATCCTGTCCCCTCGAAGCCTTCTCTTTCCCAGACTAAACATCCCCAACTCTTTCAGCCTTTCCCTGTAAGACTTGGATTCCAACCCTCTCACCATCCTGCTTGCCCTCTTCTGGACACACTCGAGCTTGTCAACATCCTTCCTAAAATGTGGTGCCCAGAACTGGACACAGGACTCCAGGTGAGGCCTGACCAGAGCAGAATAGAGCGAAACGACCCCCTCCCGAGATCTGGACACAAGGCTTCTGTTAAGTCTGCTTCTGTTAAGTCTGTTTTCACAGCCACGTCGCCCTGCAGGCTCATGTTTTGCTTGTGATCAACCTCGTCAGGGAGCCCGTTCCTTTGCGCACAAGCACAGCAGAGCTGCGGGGGCAGGGGTCCTCACCTCAGGTGCATCAGGTAGCAAAGCACCCTCCTGGGCAGCCCACCAAGGGCCGGGCCGGATCCGTGCTCCTCCTCCCCCACGGGCACCAGGAATATGCGATGGCGCAGGAAGGTGACGTGGTTGGCAGGCATGTCGTGGAAGTTGTAGGTCACAAGGAACATCTTCACCACCGTCTTGTTGGGGTTGAATAAGGTCTGCCGGAGCAGAGAGCAGCCAAACAACAAATATAGACACTGCAAAAACCTTATGTATAAGTTAAAGTGTTCTACCTGTTCCATCTTATAAAGTGTATTCTGTATTATTCATAATATTCTAAAACAGGTATATATATTCATTACATGCAATATCAACAATAATAATCAGTTTGAACAATCTAACAGCTACCCGTCAATTTAAATCCTTTTTACACAATCAACCCCAACGGGAGTGTCTAGAATTGTACACCCGCTTCTCCTTGCTTGAAAGTCTTCTAAAAGGGGAAGTTTCCTTTTGTGGTTACACTGAAGTTTAAATTGATGTTTGTTGCTGGTCCTACAAAAGGCCCATTAAGCAGCTGACAATCGTAGATGGAGCGCTCCTGTCTTTCTCAAGGATGCTGCCAGGAATGGCCAGGCATGCTCCCCCACCCACCCTCCAAGGCCCCCCCCTGCTCAAGGCAGTCGCCCCTCCCTTCCCTCCGAGGAGCGGCCAGCAGTGCCGGATCCCAGCCCCAAGCAGATGGAGTGCCCACGAGTTCTTGTATTGTGAGAAAGGGAGAAAAGTACCTCTTTCTCTACCTGCTCTTTCCCATGCATAATCTTATAAACCTCAATCATGTCACCCCTCAGTCGTCGTTTCTCCAAGCTAAAGAGCCCTAAGCGCCTTAACCTTTCCTCATAGGGAAAGTGTTCCAACCCTGTTATCATTCGAGTTGCCCTTTTCTGCACTTTTTCCAAAGCTATAATATCCTTTTTAAGGTGTGGTGACCAGAACTGCACACAGTATTCCAAATGAGGTCTCACCATTGATTTATATAGGGGCATTATGATATTGGCTGATCTGTTTACAATACCCTTCCTAATAATCCCCAGCATAGCATTGGCCTTCTTTATTGCAGTCACACACTGTCTCGACATTTTCAGTGAGTTATCTACTACAACTCCAAGATCTCTCTCTTGATCAGTCTCTGCCAGTTCAGACCCCATCAACGTGTATTTATAGTTAGGATTTTTGGCTCCAATGTGCATCACCTTGCACTTGGCCACATTGAACCCCATTTGCCATGTTGACGCCCACTCGCCCAACTTTGACAGATCCCTTTGGAGTGCCTCACAATCCTCACTGGTTTTCACCACCCCGAACAACTTTGTATCATCCGCAAATTTAGCCACTTCACTGCTTACTCCCATCTCCAAATCATTAATGAACAAGTTAAAAAGCAGTGGACCAAGTACTGATCCCTGTGGTACCCCACTGCTTACACCCCTCCACTGGGAGAACTGCCCATTTATACTCACTCTCTGTTTTCTATTAATTAGCCAGTTTTTGATCCATAAAAGGACTTGTCCTTTTATCCCATGATTTTTGAGCTTACTTAGGAGCCTTTGATGAGGAACTTTATCAAAAGCTTTCTGGAAGTCAAGGTAAACAATATCTATTGGATCCCCCTTGTCCACATGTTTGTTCACCCCCTCAAAGAACACTAACAGGTTAGTGAGACAAGATCTTCCCTTACAGAAACCGTGCTGAGTCTGCCTCAATAGGTTTTGTTCATCTATGTGCCTACTAATTCTTTCCTTAATAATGGTTTCCACCAATTTACCCGGTATCGACGTCAGACTGACTGGCCTGTAATTTCCCGGATCTCCTCTGGAACCCTTTTTAAAGATGGGAGTGACATTAGCTACCTTCCAATCCTCAGGAATGGAGGCAGATTTTAAGGAAAGATTACATATCTTTGTCAGGAGATCTACCAAGGCAGCCGCCCCCTCCCTTCCCTCCGAGGAGTGGCCAGGGGTGCCGGATCCCAGCCCCAAGCAGCCCTCCCTCCTCCCCCGCCCCAACTCACCACTTGGATCGTGCCCGTTTTGGGGATGCTGTAGCCCTTCTTTCCCAAGGCATCCAAATCTATGACTCCCTGGAGCAGGAAGAGGGTAAATAGGGCTGAGAACGGGAGGGAGACTCAGAACACCACTCCAGGGGGATGGGGAGAGGAAGACGCCCGCCCTGGCACTCCCCCTTGGCCACTTGCGCAAGCTGCCTTCTGTCGTGCTTCCCGTCGTCTGGCCAGTCTTGAGTGCCCCCCCATTACTGCCATGGTCCCCCCCCCCAAGGTCTCCACCAGCCTGTGTGGGAAGGCAACCAATGCAGTGGGGCCAGGCCCATAGCCACCAGTGGGGCCAGGCCCATAGCCACCGGGGGGCATTTGGGGGCAATGCCCCACACTAATGAGTGCTGCCCCCTCAGACAGCAAATTCAAAAAAGTCCAGAAAAATTTAAAAATATATATTATGTGAGATGTGTGCAGCAGTGTTTTCCCTAAGCTGAGTTAATGTGAGCCAGCTCACAGGTTTTTAGCCTCCGGCTCACACATTTTTGTCTTCGCTCAGGAAGGGACGCCTCCAGAGCAAACTAATCGATGCAGTAGCCAAATCGCTCGCTCACCACTTTAATGCCAGGTGCTCAGAAAGTAGAATTTTTGCTCACAAGACTCCACAGCTTAGAGGGAGCACTGTGTGTGCGGGTGTTCCAAAATAGCCCCACACACAGCCAGGGAAGCTTCAGTCTCATTTTTTCTTTTTCCAGGCCAAGAAAAAATAAAATTGCAAAATGCAAAAGGGAGACCAAGTTGGAAAAGCCCCCCCCGCCCTCCCCGGCTTGCACAGAAAAGCAGACTGGAATTGAGTCTCTCTCCAGGGGAAAGGACCAGAGGAGGACTGGAGGTCACAGTGGAGCCAGAGCTGCTGCTTCTGCAAGAGGAGCAGCAGGTGCAGCCGGGGTGCCCCCTCTTACCCAAAATTTTCTGGCTACGCCCCTGAGTGGGGGTGGCCAAGAAAGCAGCCAAACCCTCCCCTCCCTTCCCAGCAAAGTCCGGCCAAGCGCCCACCGGGCTCCCAGCCCCCCCCCCCCCCCGGCACGGGGGGCCCGCCCCCCCG